TTAAAGTAAATTGGACCAAAGTGGCAAGAAAATGAAAACCTTTGGACCATGATTGCTAGTCCAAACCTGTTTGGCCCAAAGTGACAATTTCGACCTAACCATAGGGACCATTCTTGCAATTTTGTCTAAAATATTTGGTTTCCAAGTTTACCAAATATATAGCATCATTTCTTTCAATTTATGAGTTTTAGGATCTGTGTGCTTCTTTGTACAAAGTTTTGGTTTCATTGCCTAATTCACATTGCTTGGGGAGTAAATTACTTGGTTTCCAAGTTTACTAAATATATAGAATCATTTCTTTTTATTTATGAGTTTTAGGATATGTGACTCCTCATAATGGTTTCCACCCATATTATATGTTCTTGGTGTTCTTATATTTCTTTTTTCATTCATCGTTATATACAACAAGTAGTATTAGATCCATCTTTCCAAAAGCTTTTAATACTAAATCAATTTTCATTCCCAAATATTGTACTTTAAATCAATTTCTTCCCTAAATACGTTACATGTTATTGTTTATTTTCTTCCATGAAGTATGATCTTCCGATTTTAGACCGCGACACCATGTTTTTCATGTGGAAAGGAAAGATGAGAACTCTACTAGATTATGTTGATTATAATGGTGCACTACATTTTTCTTGAAACATGATACACACTGATTATTTTGGAGGAGATGAATATTTAGGATCATCCATAATCCATGGGATTTTATTTTGGATTGAGCTCTTTTCGAGTTTCACGTCATTGCACATTCAATTGTCGCATGAATTATGTATATTTATCTATATGATCCTTAATTTTTAGAAGGTACACCATATTTTTATAGGATTTTGAATTAGGGAGTGTTAGGAAACCAATATCCAATCACTAGTTCAATGAAAGAAATCGATTTAAATATCGTTCAACTTCTTCAAACATTTGATACCATAAGATATTATGGTGCATTTTATATTGTAGGTTATTTTGGAGCGGTTAATATTTTAACGTATTTTGGTGCATTTGATATCATAATGTATTTTGGCATTCAAATTAAGTCCTCAATGGCTATTGGCATTTAAGGAATTCTTTTAACTTAGTTCTGGTTTGAAAGTTCTTTAATTTGTTGAAGGTAAAACTCGGTTAATATGACATTCGTTCGAGTATGGTTTGAATTCCATTATTTCAAATTTGTGATGTTAATGCAAAGTCTATTAATGTAGAACTTTGGAAAAAGTGTCGATGTTTTTAGGTGAATTATTTCCAATTAAGGCAATGTTTCTAGAATTATGGTTTAATAGTCAAATTCAATTTTCTTACGGAGTTTATTACATGGTTTTCAAGTTATAAATTTTATGAAATCATTTCCTTTTATTTATGAGTTTTAGGATCTTTAGAATTCTT